ATGCCAAGAATATGTATATCTTGGAAACAAATAGAATCTAGCAGGGTTTTGACAGTTCCTTCATAATGGGTTGTGGAAGGGAGGATAAGGATGTTCAGAGTCTCACTGGTGGCCCTGGTGGTAAAGGTGGAAGCTGTGGGAGCCAGTGTCCCTGGCTGACCCTGAAGTTGTCTGGCCTTCCTCACAACCTCCACAGCCACTTCCTGTTCCTGATTATTCAAATGAGTCCGTCTTACACACAGCGTGTGGAGGGGCTTTGAAAAAAGTGCATTTAACAATAGCTAAGATTTAGAAACAACCTAAGTGTCCATCAGCAGATGAGTGGATTAAAAACCTATGGTTCATCTACACAATGGAATACTACGCCACTATTAAAAAAAAGGAACTTTTACCATTTGCAACAGTATGGATGGAAATGGAGAGCATTATGCTAAGCAAAATAGGCCAGTCAGAGAAAGATAAATATCACACGATCTCACTCATATGTGGGATATAATGATCAACGTAATTTGATGAACAAGAATAGATCCAGAGACAAATGGCAGGGGAGAGGGGGGGTTAGAGAGCAACCAAAGGACTTGTATGCATGCATATTAGCATAGCCAATGGACACAGACACTGGGGCGGTGGGGGCTAGCCTGGGGTGGGAATGGCTGGGGTAGGGGGGGATCAATTGGGGAAGAAAGGAGACATATGTAAAACTTTAGACAATAAGCAAAAAGAAAAAAGTGCATTTAACCACATCACTCCCTTACCTAAAACTCTTCTCCTCACCAAAATGGTCACAGGCCCGTGGTCTGACTCCCCCCGTCAGCCACTGCAGGTCTTTCCTGGCTGATGCGGTCCCCTGCCTTCTGCATGGCTGGCCCCTGCTCTTCCTCTGCACCTCAACTGAAGTGTCACCTTCTTAGACAGGTCCTCCCCAACCAACCCATCTTTCAGAAATCCTCCTAGGATTCTACTTCCAGCGCCAGCATCCTTCTCTTCATGGCACTTGTCACAAGCTAATGGAGTGTGTGTGTCCTATCATCAGACTCCTCTCCTTGACTGAAAGGTCCATTTGGCCGGGACTGTACCTGTTTGTTCACTACGCCATCGCCCTAGTTCAGTGGTCAGCAAACTCATTAGTCAACAGAGCCAAATATCAACAGTACAACGATTGAAATTTCTTTTGAGAGCCAAATTTTTTAACTTAAACTATATAGGTAGGTACATTGTTATTAACTTAATGAGGGTCCTCCTAAGCTGGCCTTTGCTAAAAACGTCCTCAATCTGATTGAGGTACGTTCGCTGAGGTCGACCCCTTCCAACTCTCCCATCCACACTCGTCTTGTATACTTGTTTCGTCTATCTCTTTTCCGAAAAACGACTTCTGCGCATGGGCCACGAAGTTTCAATCGCACTGTACGTGCACGCCCGCACGTGGTATTTTGTGGAAGAGCCACACTCAAGGGGCCAAAGAGCCGCATGTGGCTCGCGAGCTGCGGTCAGTACCTGGCACAAACAGACATATACACACAAATTGTTAAAAAATGACATGTGCACACACTTTCTTTAAAAATTTTTTCCAGCTTTGTTGAGAACAGGCTTAATTCTTTTATATATATATATATATATATATATATATATATATATATATATGTTGTTGTTGATTTCAGAGAGGAAGGGAGAGGGAGATAAAAACATTAATGATGAGAATCATTGATTGGTTACTTCCTGCACGTCCCCTTCTGGGGATCAAGCCTATAGTCTGGGCATGTGCCCTTAACCAGAATCGAACCTGGAACCCTTCAGTCCACAGGCCGACACGCTATCCACTGAGCCAAACCAGCCATGGCTGTGCACATACTTTTTAATAATGTGTTCTATTGTTGACCAGATATTTCATCGCTTTTGTCTCTATTGTCTGGGCAAGTACTGTGAGTCAGGCACTGTTCCTGGTGCTCAGAGTGCAGCAGTGACTGAAGCAGACAAAAGTCCCTGCCCACAGGCTGCCTTTGGGCTGGTGAGTCAGGCATGGTTTTATGGAGGCGTGTCCCTGTCACACCCTCTCACTTCACTCTTTTGCTCAGCCTCCACCTGACCAATGGGAGCTAGGGGCTGGTGGGTAAATGCTCCCTCCTTCCGTCTTGCGTCCCACACAGTGTCTCAGAGGCCCCCGGGGGACTGGCCCAGTTGCTCATGGATTGACCACCTGGATCATGCACGCTTGGGTGGGCTTTCTCCCCTTCCGGCTTCATTCTTTCTGGTTCTGATTCCTTCCCTGCCCCTTTCCCACAGGATCACTTCCCAGAAGAAGCTACCTGCCCTCAGATCCCTCCCCATCACTGCTTTGGAGGAGAACCCAAGCCAACAAAGCCAGCATTTTCGTATTTCATTTGGGTTATTTTCTACATTTCCGTCTTAGGTCCCCAGCTGTACTTTGGGTTCCTAAAGAGCAGGGATCAGCTATTCCTTTTTTATATATATTTTCCCACAGTTACTAATTCAAGGCCTGGCAAAGAAGAATAACACATGTTGATGTGATTAGACAAAAAAGAAAGAAGACAGTGAATATCTGTGGCCCAAGGGAGGCCAGAGCCACTTCTGGCACAGAGACCTCTGCCTGATATTGGGTAAGACTGGGACCCGCCAGGGCAATTACTGTTTTCTCTTCTGTGTACCCATCCTGCTCTCCTCGTCCCCGCCCCTGCCCCTCCCCCCCCAAGCAGGTCCCTTCACCCTTGACTTCCAGCAGCAGCAGGGGGCCAGCTGCTGAAGTAGCGTAGGGCCCATAGCTGGGGGCTCACTCCGGGAGCTCTGCCTGCCGCCTGCTCCCTCCTCCACGTTGGGAGTGGGTGAGGGAGCCCAGGCCCTACTTCCCAGGGGTGGGATCCACATGTCTGTCATGTGGTGCTGAAAATGACAGGATCCTGCTCCCACAAGGCCTCAGTCAGGGACTCAAAATGAATAAATGAACGACTTCAAAATTCAGTACCAACCCTGACTGGTTCTCATGGAAACAGAGAGTGACAGGCCCCAGGGAAAGGTGAAAAGAGCATTGGACAAGAGTTGTAGTTACGGGTCTACCACTAATTTGATGCTCCTGTGGTCATGTACCACTTTTCTGCCCACAGTTTCCTGAAAATGAGACGGCTGGACCAGATGATCTCAAAGATCCCCCAGCTCTAGGATTCTTAAATTACAGACCTGGAAGGAAGCTGATCTGTCAGTTCAAATAAACTTTTCTCCCACTTATATGACTCTCACTGTTGGTAACAGCCCCATGCCTCCTCTAAACCCACTAGGTTCGGCTCTAGCACATTTGTTCTTGCAGACTCCCACGCTCCTTTAATACAAGCCTGGCATATGCTTGAACATATTTTTGTAATTGACATATTTACTGAGATTATCGTGGTTTCATATTCAATCATAAGAAATAGTGCCCTTTGCACAGTTTCCCCCAATGATAGCATTTTGCAAAACCTTAATATGCTCTCACAACTAGGTTTTGATTCAATCCATCTATCTTAGATTTCCCGTTTCACCTGTACTTGTGTGTGTGTGTAAGTTCTATATAAATTTTATCATCTCTTCTAAAACCACAAGAATCCCTTATGTTGCCCTTTTATAACTACACCTTGCCTTCCTTCCATCCCACCTCATCCTCCGTTTGATGGTTTTTCAACAATCTTCTTGTTTGGAAATAATTTCAAACTTGCAGAAACGTTTCAGTATATCTTGAACCCAGATTCGCTGATGGTTAATATTTTGTCCGTTTACTTTATCGTTTTTTCCTATTGACATTCCCCGCCCCCCCAATCATTTGAAGGTACTAGTAAGTTGCATACACCACGCCCCTTTATTCCTTCACGATACTTCAGTGTGTATTTCCAAGAATTGGGATATTCTTCTACATGCCCATAGCGCACGTTACCAACTTCAGCACATGTAACATTGATCTCGCAGGATCCCAAATTGTCCCCATGTCCTTTATTAGCACTACCACCCCTCCAGTCCAGGACCTTTCGTTGCCATAACTTTCTGGCACTCTTTAATCGGGAACATTTCCCAAGCCTTCTTTTGCCTTTTATGACATTGATGGGCTTGAAGAATATAGCCCCTGCCCCTTTTTAATAGACGTTCCTCATTGTGGGCTTGTCTGAGGTTTCATCATCAGTGGATTCAGGTTGTGCATTCTACCTGGGAACACTGCATAGGTGATGTGTTCTGAGGATGTGAAATCCTTCTCCTAATGGTGATACTGATTTTGATCAAGGTGCTGTCTGCCTGCCCCTCTGTCAGTGTTTCCGTCGTGCTATTCATAAGCCTAAACCACCTCTGGGAGACAGGGTAACCCATGCAAATATCTTCTCCCCAATAAACCCTACCCCTAGTGTGAGGATCCATTGAGGAGTCTTGCCTGAGCCCATCTTGGTCTCTTCAAGTCCCTCTTCCAGGTTTTCCACTGTTTCCTTTCCTTGCGTCTTCGGTTCTGGTCCGAGTCTTCTCCCTGTCCTTTCCGTGTCCTCCTATGGCCTTTGGGCAGAGACTAGGCCGGAGCAGTAAACTCAGCACCCTGGACTGGAAATGAGCTAATGTGGGCTGTTCCCCTTCAAACCGTCCACCAGGGATTTGCATAACAGAGTCGCCTGTGAGCGCTCACTTCCTGGATCGGTTCCTGCCGCCTCTCACCAAGTCCCCTCCCTCTCCCTGGGGTCCCCTTCCCCCGCTCCGGCTCTGGGCCCCCCTGGCTAAGCCCAAGGGGTACTTTCTAAGGGCGGCCGAGCCCGCACAACCCGACGCCTGGACGTCCACTGGCGCTCGCGGCGAACGGGCCCGGCGCGAGTCCCACCCCCGCCTTAGACCGACCGGCCGGGAGCCGAACAGAAGCGCTAGAATAAATCATCGCGCGGGGGAGGGAGGGGTCCCGGTTGGGTATTTTGTCGGTACTTTTCCGTGCCCAGCAGCGCGGGGAACAGCGCAGGGGCGGGGGCCAGCGGCAGCCCCGCGAGGCCGCGATGCGCTCAGCCCCGCTGGCATCCTGGAGGGCGGCGCGCAGGTGGCGGCGCGGGGGCCGGGCCGGGCCGGGCGCGGGAGGGGGAGGGCTCGGCGCGCGTCGGGCGGTGACGGCAGCGCGGAGGGGAGGTGCGAGCCGCCCGCCCGCCCGCCCGCCGGGAGCCATGGCGAGAGGCCGCGCCGCGGCGCCCGCACCCGTGTCCGCGCCCGCAGCAGCGCCCCCGCCCGCCGCCCCTGGGCCCAGCCGGCCGCCGCCCGCGCGCGCCCCGACCCAGTAACTCCCGCGCCCCGCGAGCCAGGCGCCCCCCAAAGAGGGGCTGCGCGCGGGAGGGAGCGGCGGAGCCCCACGACCCCCGCGTCCCGGAGCCCGAGCCCGAGCCGGGAGCGCCGAGCCGGCGGGCGGGCGGCAGCAGGAGGAGGCGCCGAAGCCGAGCCCGCCGCGTGCACCCCGCGCCCCCGGCCGGCTGCTGCTGCTGCACCGGGACGCCGAGCCGCCGGGCGGCCGGGCCGGGCCGAGGACAGCCAGGCGGCGGCCGGCAGAACCCAGCGCCGGGCAGTCGGGCGCCCGAGGCCCCCGGGACCTCGCCTGCTCTCGGCCGCGCCCCGTGCGCCTCTCGCGGGTAAGTCTGGGGTCCGCTCGCCCGGGCCTCGGGTGCACGGGCCGGGGGCTGCTGGGGGCAGGACCCGGTGTCCTGGGAGCGCGCGCGCGATGTGGTGGCGGCGGGAGAGGCCGGGCGCGGGGACCCGGGAGGGGTTAGGGTGGAGGGAGTCCCCATCCTGCACCCGCCGTACCTGCGGGAGCCTCTCGGGGCCCAGAAAGGTGCCCATAGAGAGGGTGCCCTGTCGGTCGCGCCGTGGGGCCTGGATCCCGAGCGCTGGTCCTCCGAGGTGACAGTGAGGCGACCTTCAAAGAACCCCGAGCTGAGCCAGCCCACAGCGCGAGCAGCACCCCATTCCCCCTCGCCCGCAGAACGAATGGAAATGGGATCTGAATGTATTGGGGGCCGGACAGATGGCGTTTGGGACCCTCCGCCCTGATTTCTGAGAGTTAGCAAGTTCACTTGGCCACTTTTTCGACGTGTGAGTTTTAGGATTCTCTGCGAATCTCCAAGGTCAGCCTCTAGCGGGTTAAAGCAGACACACTGAGATGTATGGCCGCTCTTCTGTAAGGTTGTGCTTCGGGAGGGACAAGTCGGAAGCCCAGCTGCTCCGGGGCTGGGGCGGGATGCCCCTGCCTGCCCGTTAGGCCTCCGTGTTTGAGGCCCCTTCGCTGCACTTGTGCAGACACTGAAATCCATGTCCGCTCTCAGCGCCCCCTCGGTCTGGGTGTTTAAGTCTCTGATTTTTTTTCTTTAAGTTTTTTTTTTCTGATACGCTCCTCTACCAGAACTTAATTGCTTCTAACCAACGTGTAAACGTTGTCAATGTTGTCTGTGCGTTTGGAGGCAGGACGGGTACTTTTTTCCTGGAGCTCTTTTGGTGGCAGGGGTGGCAGACTAGGGAAACAAGCTAGGAACAGGGTTTTTCCTGGTTTCCAGCTACAGGATCAGCAGAGAGGGAGGTGGTCAGGCAGGGCAATGCCCGCCCCCAGGCAGTCTGCCCTGGGGAGGGTCACCCCACTTCCCCAGCGGAGGATGACAGAGAGGGAGCTTGGCTGGCAGGGTCAGAGGGGAAGCTGGAGTGACAGATGGCACGTCTCTCTTTCTCTTTTCGTTTGGAAAGGTCACACTTGCGTGGACTTTGATCCCTGACCCCTCTGTTATCACAGAGGTGTCCAGATGAGTGTAGACGGGCTACCTGGACAGCTGAGCTAGTCTCTGGGATGCTGAGCTGGCTTAGAAAGCCATGGCCCCAGGCAGCGGTCTTGGCAAGAGTTGTGTTACTGCTTGACCCGGGCCTAGCCATTTCCTGTTCCATGCCCCAGGGACCTGTGAGGTTTGGTTTCCCATCCCCAGTGCTCCCTGAAGAGTGTCTCCACCCTGGCTGTGTGCTCCTTCTGAAAAGACACTGGCCTTGCAGTGGGAAACCTGGATTCAAATCCCAGCTCCTCTTTTTCTCTGCTGGCTGTGACCTTGGGCCCTTATTTAACCTCCCCGACCTGGCTTTCCCTTCTCTGGGATTGCCCTCCCACCCAAAGCAAAACACAAAACAAAACAAAACAAACCTCATCAGACTATTGTAAGGCTTAAAGAGTTTTTTAATTAAAAACATTTTTTAATTGATTTGAGAGAGAGAGAGAGAGAGAAAATACATCAATTTGTTGTTCCACTTACATATGCATTCATTGGTTGATTCTTGTCTGTGCCCTCATGGGGGATTGAATCTATAACCTTGACATATCAGGGCAATGCTGTGACCAACTGAGCTACCCTGCCAGGACAAAGAGTTTCTTGTTTGTTTGTTTGTTTTATTCTCACCCGAGGATATTTTTCCATTGATTTTTAGAGAGAGGGAAAGAGAGAAATATCGATGTGAGAGAAACACTTTGATTGGTTGCCTCCTGCACAACCGATTGGTTGCCCCGGGCTGGTGAGGAGCCTGCAACCACGGTACATGCCCTTGACTGGAATCGGACCTGGGACCCTTCAGTCTGCAGGCCAAAGCTCTATCTACTGAGCCAAACCGGGTAGGGCAGGGCAGAGAGTTTGACTAAATGACCTGTGAGAGTTTCCAGGTCTCATTCCAACACGACTAGGTTTGTGAGTTGGCTTTGAGTCCCAAAAGGGATGATAAAGAGATATCACAGTGGTAATTATTGTCGTTCTTATATTGTGAGGGTCGAATCAGGCCATGTAAAATAAAAGAGCATTATTTGAATGGAAAGGAGTTCTTAAACTTTTTTCCCCCGTTTCCCAACTAGCAGCATCTTAGTGTTTGCCATCCGATGGGGATTTGCTTCCTGTCGTTGCATTCTGAGCCCCTGCCTCTGACCTTGCACATAGTAGGTCTCTAATCGTTAGATGAATCTGGGCTCCGCATCTTGACCGCGTGCTCCCACGATGGACAGCAGACCTTGGGCCTTCCCTGTGCCAGCAGCTGTCGGGGGTTTTTCATAGACACGATTGTTCTGTGGCTCCGTGCAGCTCATAAACAGCCCAGGAGGGCGGGCAGGCAGGTGGCCATCTTTCCTACAAGGGGCGGTTTTTTTTCCCCCTTTAGGCCTCAGTTGCAAAAGGCATTGGAGGATGTGTTCATTGAAACTCGGTGGTTTGCAGATGTTAAATCCAGCCTTCCACCTGGGGTGCAGGTTAACACTATGCTGGGAAGTTTAATAAGCTCAGGGATGATGCTACAACAACCAGCCTCTTCAAACATATGATTACTTGAGCCTTGGTTTTGAAAACGTATTCTGATCTCTTTAACTCATCCGTACTTGGTATGCGCCCTGACGTTTGTGGGGGAGGACAAAGGGATGCGCCTTTTAGGAGATCAAGGTGTTAGGGGAAGAACCGTTTCCACTAACCCCAGGGGTCTCAGATTTAATTTTATAGTCTTGGGTGAGTGAGTCTGTTGTGAGAGACAGACTGTTGAATGGGTCTTCTGGCTCCTCCCTTCCTTCTTCTTCTTCTTGAACAAATGTTTCCTATTCTCATCTGTCTTATTAGGTGTACCCAAGTGGAGGCCACCAGCAGTGCTGAAAAGCTCCAAGTTGTAGCCAGGGGACAGTAAGCAGTAGCATATGTGTAGCTCTGCGTGCCGCTGAACTGCATAGAACCCCAGATGATGCGCAGCTGCTTAAAGCAAGGCTTCGGCGTGTGTCTTCTGAAGGGCCGTGTGGCATTATTATTCATGGAGAAGCTCACGCAATGACGTGTTTGTTAATAGGGCACCTGATGTGGGAGAGGGTGGAATGGGGTGGGAGGTGAGCTCTTGTTTGGGCTTCCGGTCCAGCATTCTGGGAAGGGCTGCTCCCAGCCTCACCCGGTGAGCGGTGCGCTTTTCTGAGAAGCTGTGGATCCTTTGGTGAAGACTGGTAAATGGTGATTCCTCAGGCTTCCACGCACAGCATTGGGCGTCTTTGTGTCTCGAGCTGTGAAATGGGTTCTATGGATGGTTCTTAAACTCGCCCCGTAGGACCCCTGGGAAGGGGGTTGGGGAGCTCAGCCTGAGGCTTCCAGCACTTTTCAGTATTAGTCCAGTGGTTCCTTTGGTGAAGGCCAGAACACAGGGTTCTTCTTGTCTGTTTTCAAAAGAAAGTCATGTAAACGGCTGCCTTGCATAAAACTCACTCAAGGAAGATGTACCTTATTTCCCTGGGGCCCTGGGGCTCCCCCCAGCATAAGGGTGTGTACTCCCAGTTTGAGCATCTTGGAGCTGGATTATTGCAGGGGTCGCGTCTAGTTCCAACTTTATGAAATGCCGGGACATTTAAAGGCTGAAGGTGACCTCCTTCCTCGAGGAAACGGATTGTGTACTAACATCTGCAAAGGATGCCCCGGAACTGAAGGCAGATAGGTAGATCAGTAAATGAAAGAACCCCCAGAGTATCCATTATCTGGATCTCAATGGTAAGGAAGACCATACTCTGAGTATTCAGGGGAGTTTGAAATGCCCCCCCTCCCCGGCAAGAATGAGTTGAAAGGAACCATGAAATGTGAGTGAAGTGGTTTGACTTTTTCTAAACCAGAACAGTGACAAGACAGTTCTCCCCACATTCTAGCTGAGTAGCTGAAGCATCCACCCGCCCACTCACCTACTCTTTGTTGAGTAAATCTAAAGTGCAGGTCAAGTGCACTGTGCATAGGGAGAGCACAAGATAGAGTGACAGATGGAAGCTAGATAGAGGGGAGCGGACCTGGCCCGGGGGTGTGTAACCTCTTCCTCGCCCTCCTCTCTTCCCTCCTGCTTTCCCGCAGGTGCAGGGCTCTCACCCTGCTGTGCTCCTCCCACAGCCTCCTGTGGGGGAGGGAGCCCGTAACCTGTCTTTGCCAAATTCGTCTTTTTTATGTTATTTTGCCCCAGAGGTGCCCAAGCCTCCCTGTCTGAGAGAAGAAAGGTCAATTCCTGAATATAATGACCATCTTTTATTAAAAAAAAAAAAAAAAAAAAAAATGGTGGTAGCCCAGCCAGCGTGGCTCAGTGGTTGAGCATTGACCCTATGAACCAAGAGGTCAAGGTTGGATTCCCTGGAGGAGCACATGCCCAGGCTGTGGGCTCGATCCCCCGTGTGGAGTCTGCAGGAGGCAGCCAATTGATGATTCTCTCTCATCGTTGATGTTCCTCTCTCTCTCTCCCTCTCCCTTCCTCTCTGAAATCAATAAAAAGTATTTTTAAAATAGTGGTAAAATATACGTAGCATAAAGCCGACCATTTTAAAGTGTACAGTCTTGTGGCATTAAGGACCTTCGCCTTGTGCAGATCTCAGCACCACCCATCCCCAGAACCTGTTCCTCTTCCCCGACTGAAGCTCTGAACTGATTAAACGCTGTCTCCGTCCCGCTGCCAGCCTGTGTGACAGTCCGAGGAACCTCCCTCCCAAGAGGAGTGATACCATATTTGTCTCTTAGTGACTGGCTTATTTCACATAGCACAGTGTCCTCAAGGTTCATTCATGTAGTAGCGCGGAACAGAATTCCATTTCTTCTTGAGGCTGAATAGTATGGCACTGCGTGTGTATCTTCCAGTGTATCCGTTCATCCTTCGACGGACGCTTGGGTTGCGACAACCTTTTGGCTGTTGTGAATAGCGCTGCTCTGGACGTGGGTGGACAAAGATCTGGGACCTGCTTTCACTCCTTTTGGGGCCACAGGCTCCTCTGGCAATTCTTTTTTTTTTTTTTTTAATATATTTTATTGATATTTTTACAGAGAGGAAAGGAGAGGGAGAGAGAGTTAGAAACATCAATGAGAGAGAAACATCGATCAGCTGCCTCCTGCACACCCGCTACTGGGGATGTGCCCGCAACCAAGGTACATGCCCTTGACCGGAATCGAACCTGGAACTCTTGAGTCCGCAGGCCGACGCTCTATCCACTGAGCCAAACCGGTTAGGGCTCCTCTGGCAATTCTGTGTTTGATTTTTGAGGACTCGCCATGCTCTTTCCTCAGTGGCTGCACCATTTTTTATTCCTACTAGCAACGCACAAGGGGTCCAGTTTCTCCATATCCTCGCCACCACTAGTTATTTTCTGTATTTTGGACAATAGGCATCCTGATTGGTGTGACATGTTATTTCTCTTGACTCACTTTCTCCCTCTTCGTTCTGTTATCCTTTCAACACCGGCCGTGGTCTTTGCCTTCCTTTGAGCTGCGGGGAGGCCCTGACATGTTAGGAGTACGTCCTTCCGCCCTGGCTCCTGGCTGCCAGGGGGTTCTGGGGGCATCATGTTTCATTTCTTTTTTTTTTTTTTTTTTTTTTTTTTAAATATATTTTATTGATTTTTTACAAAGAGGAAGGGAGAGAGATAGAGAGCTAGAAACATCAATGAGAGAGAAACATCGATCAGCCGCCTCCTGCACATCTCCCACTGGGGACGTGCCCGCAACCCAGGTACATGCCCCTGACCGGAATCGAACCTGGGACCTCTCAGTCCACAGGCCGACGCTCTATCCACTGAGCCAAACCGGTTTTAGCATGTTTCATTTCTTTAGTGAGTGCGGCGGGATGCAGATTCCGGAGGTTTCCAGAGGCCGCTCTGCCCCTGCGTTAGGGTCAGTGTGTCTGTGGCTCTCCTCCCATCCTCCCCTCGTCTTTTTAATTTTGAATGTGAGTTGGGGGACTCAAGAGGGTAACAGCGGACCAGCAACTCAGTCAGACAGTGCTTGGCCCTTTGTGACTCTGAATGCAGGGTTCTAGGAGTAAACTTGCTTTGCCTGTGGACCTTGACTGTGAGTGGGGTGTTCGGTGACCTGACATCTGCTGAGATCTGGTGGCAGAATTATAACGTCAGGGGCTATATATATTATGCATACATACATATACATACACCAACACACACATGCAGGGGTCCAAAGATACCGGCCTTGCCCGCATTGATGAGTCCCAAACCTGGGGAGGAAATTGGAGGTTTATTTAAACTAAGGGCAGAGGCAGAGTCTTATCAGGTTGCAGAGTTGGAATGGGCAAGCCTTGTGCCGAGGGATTAAAACCACCAACAAATAGACAACAAACCAAAGCTGTGACTCAGGAATAGCAGTGTAATGATGGAGAGACATGGGGTGGGCAGGAAAATGAGCAATTTGTGGCGGGTGTGATTCAGTGGGGCTGTGTCCCCGAATGTTTCACGTGGGTGAGGAATTTCTGAGACAGTTTCCTGGCGCTCTCAGTAGAGAGGAAAAGAGTGTCATCCAGATGGTGGGTATTTCATCTCGACCTTTGCACCTAGAAAATGTTTTCGATAAAATGCTGAATTCTGTGGGAAGTGTACAGTTCCGATCAGTGTAACTGAGTAGGGTGCACCCTTGTTCATATTCATTTCTTAAAACATAAAAATCTCCGTGACAGTCTGTCTAAACTGGAACACACTATTGATGTGTTTAAAGCCTCGGAGATGGATGCTTTGTCAGTTTTGAACCATGGAAAGAATTCCCGTTTATGTTATCATAACCTCATGTGGTTTTTAAGAGGATTACGTGAATTCATATATATGCTTGGCTCAGCGTAAGCATTTGTGTTAGCCATTATTGTTGTTGTTATTGAGCTCCTTATGATCCATCCACTCATGCACAGATAATTTTGGAGCACATATTCTGTGCCATGCTTTCATTTTTAAAAAATATGTTTTTATTGATTTTATAGAGAGAAGGGAGAGGGAGAGAGAGAGAGAAACATTGATGAGACAGAAACATTGATCAGCTGCCTCCCGCCCACCTTCTGCTGGGGATCCAGCCCGCAATCCTGGCATGTGCCATGACAGGGAATCGAACTAGTGACCTCTTGATGAATGGGAGGATGCTCCATCCACTGAGCCACACCAGCAGGGCAACCATGCCTTTGTTTTTATGATGCTAACAGGACTACTTCCCATGGCCTAAGGCAGTGCTGTGGCCATGGTTTTGGCCCAGCTGACAACTAACTTTCCTCCTTTGGCTTTGAGGAGAAAGGCCTTAGAGAAATCCCTTTAGACTTGGTGTTTGGACGCAAATATCAAGACATCTGCAAGGTCTGTTGTGGAAGAAGTGTTTGCTGTTAAATATTAGAGAAAAGTCTTCCTTTTTGAGAAAACAAGCAGAATAGTCGTACGATCACAGCAGTGGATAAGAAGGTGTGACAATATATATAATCATTGGGAAAATAGACTCACATGTTGACTGATGCTGTAGATGTGTTTATATTGTACTTGGAAGGTAGGAAAGGGTTTCTGTTATTACAAGAGAAATTACAAGTACAAGAGGAATGTTAGAGTAGTTGTTGAATGTTCCCCGAAAAAATGTTTAGCTGGGCTGCCTCTTGGGACTGGAAGAGAAATGATACTCATATGGAAGGGGATAAAGGACATAAATATTCTTGGGAGATTGGTGATCTTATAATCAGACTTTTATCCTGCATGGTATACTGACCAGCATAATCAAACCCGAGAAGTTCCCCCACAGACCGGAAGTTACATCAACATTTGGTCCCTAGGGCGGGAAGACGATGCAGGTTGTAGAGTTTCCAAAGGGAAGGCCCATGGCAGGCAGGGTGTCATCAGCACAGGCGATGGCTTTCCCTTGTGGCCCAGGCCTGTTGGTCCCAGGCCTCCTCCACGTCCAGGATGCCTGAGGCCTGCCGTGGAAGCTCTGACTTTCCTAAAGGTGAGAGAGGGCAGCGACCTCAACTGGGGAAGTGAGTGATTGTGGAGAATGGAAAGAAGTGGAGTCCTTTGAGTGATGTCGAGGAGATAAAGCTTGCTTTTGGAAGAGATAGTGGTAGGGTGAGGGAGGGGCGGAGTCAGGGATGAGGTTGAGCTTTCCAGATTGGACTCACATCACTCAGTTGTGCAGGGGTGAGGACCTGGAGGATCCTGTTCCGAGTGGGCTCGTGAAATTTCCAAGTGGAAATTTAGGACTTCATTAAGGGCAGTGGGCCACCTGGGCCTGGGGCTTGCAAGAGAGACTTGAGTGTGAGGTGAGGGTTTGGGGTGTATACCTGTAGACAGTAGAGGTACCAGGTATAGAAGAATTCACAGAGGACTGACCAGAGGTTGACCAGAAGGAGATCAGAAGTGCTGGGGGAAGAGAATGTTCCTTCAATGAAGGGTGGGGCTCATGGGGTCACCGTGCTGAGAGGCCAAGTAAGATAAGGGCTCAAATGTTCTGTGGGTTTGTTTACACATGGTAGGTGTGCAAATATTTGTAGAGTTGACTGCTCAGTTTTCCATGGTTCGGAGGAGACACTGGCTTAGCTTTGTAAACATCTTATGGTAACATCTTGACCACGAGGGTCTCACCGTGTTCATGAAAGTTTGCACATGTCCTTGCCAAGTATCCTGTGTCCATATTCTACGAGTTCCTGGAACGAGTGAGCTCAGCATTAGAGACTTTACTATACTTGTGATTCTTACACATCTTACTCAAGGGTTTATCTTTCGTACCGTCAGAATTACAGACTCATGGTAAAGTTGGGAGGAAATTAGCAATTGCTTGTTTTAGCAAAGATACTTCTGCAGCCCCATTAGAATGGATAAAATGAGAAGTTAACAATAGCAGCTTTTGGTGAGGATGTGGAACAAAAGGAAGCCTCATGCACCACACACAAAAAAGACCAACCACCTGGAAAATCAGCATTATCTACTAAAGCTGAACCTGTATTTTGTGACCCAGTGGTTCACACTTGGGCTTCTATTCAACAGAAACAAGGGCTGTGTACTTAGTTCACACAGCTTTACTCGTGATAGCCCCAGACTGGAGAAAACCCCCCCAAATGTCCATTAACTGGTGACTGTATGAACCAATGAGCGTATATCCACACGATGGAATGCTACTCAGCAACGAAAAAGGAATGAAACACTAATACATGCAACAAATGGATGAAATTTACAGACAAGATGTTGAGCAAAAGAGGCCAGACATCCCCTGGCCGGTGTGGCTCAATTGGTTGGAGCATCAGCTTGTACCCTGAAAGGTTACTGGTTTGATTCCCGGTCAGGGCACATACCCAGGGTGTGGGTTCCATCTCTGGAGGGAACACATACGGGAGGCTACTGATCGATGTTTCTCTCTCTCTCAAATTAATAAAAAAAACAAACATATCCTTGGATGAGGATTACAAACAAAAGAGGCCAGACATAAACGCATATATATATATATAATGTATGATTTTATTTTCAGGAAGCTCAAAACAGACCAAACTATCCTGTACTATGTATCAGAATGCGGATGGTTACCAAGGAGGGAGTAATGGGGATACAAGGTGCATATGTAAGTAAAAATGAACAGAGCTGAATGCGTGAGATAATGAAAGGTCCAGTTAATTTGGTAACTGTTAGATTTTAATGCAACATGGTATGAAATATTTGTTCTGCAGCATTTCCCTGTGCTCCAACTTCTGTGTTCATCCCATCCTCTCCTTTGGAGTCATTTTAATGAAGCCTGGGTGTTTATTCTTTCTTCCCTGGTTCACCAGGATGTATGGTGTGCCAGAGCTGGGACGAGGGTGACGTGACTGAGGTGCTTGGTTAAGGCACAAAATTTAAGGGGTCAGGCAGAACTGTTTCCCCCAAATTTAAGTAATCGAGATACAGATTTTAGTGCAATATTTCAAAAAATCCAAGGCCAAAAAAGTGAACCAAATATCAACATTTTTCATGAAGACGGATTGGTGTTACTGAATTTCCCTTTTGCATCAGGTTCTACGTGTGCCCTGGTGAGGCCCTGTTGTGGGCGTGGAGATGGAGCCAGGAGGACTCCCGAGGACTTGAGAGCCACAGACTCGGCCTGGGTGGGTGACCTCACGAGTGAAAGTGAAAGAACAAAGCCGATAGATAAAGACTGAAATAGAAATTGACCATGTTCACACGTTTAGCGTTTCGTGAATGGAAGCAACTCTGTTGTGGCTTGGGGGAGGATTCTTCTCCGTATATTAAGCACCCCAACAAAAGGGAATAATACTGTGTGAAAGGACTCAGAGTCCTTAAAATCCATAAATTGCTCTCGAAGTTTTTGTGAATTTTGCAGTGGCATCGTAACTTACGGCCAGCGGGGCCTCGGTGTTACAACAGGAAGTTGTCAAGGCTTAGGAACTTACTCGCGGCGTTAACATGGCATAAAAACACTGTCTTTAGTGTGTAACGGTGTTCAGCAGTAAAAAGGAGTTAATGATTGCCCACCTTCCAGGAATCAGGCGATTGCTGGTGACATAATTACCTGGTAGGCAGGCATGGAACCCCGCAATTTCCTAGCCTTGGTCCTGCACGCTGGCCAGCACACCCATGCCTCCAAGTGTGGCTCCTGAAATGCGGCCTTCGTGGTCTTTTTCTGGTGAATAAGCAAGGCCGTGTGTCATGTCCCATTGGCTCTTCCTTGAGGTCAGGATGTGTCACCTGGACTGAGAGAGAGAGAGAGAGAGATCCCAGATTTTTCAGCTCCTCTTCCAATGGATACGGTATTGGTGCGAACCGGAGTCTCTTCTCCATCACTTTCTGCTCGGCTTCCCCTTAACGCTGAAATCCTCCCCCTTCTTGATGTAAGGTGCAGTGCCTGTAAGTGCCGGAGGGCTTTAAAAAGTGTGCAGCTTCGGGAATAAGTTTCAGAAAACCACACCAGAAGGGGTTAAAACTTTTCCGCTTTGTAAACCCCAGTTCTTTGTTCACATCCCCGCCCCTTTCCCCTTTCCAGCCTCACTGTGCATGGTTTCCTCCTAGCAACAGGCGCTGGTCGGTGGGGAAGTCAAGCCAGGCTGACAGCCTGCTGGTCAGAGGCTGTCCTCCCCTCACTGTGAGTCACCAGGGCTCCCGGAGGGGCCTGTGCCCGGCACCCTGTCTGCAGGGCACCCTGGCTGGCTTAGCGGCCTTTCGTTGCATGTGGGTTTTCATTAGCAGTTCCATTTCTGTAATAGATAGTGGACGGCTCAGATCTTCTGTGTGTGTTAGCTTTGCTAAGTTGTACATTTCAAGGAGTTGGTCCATTTCCTCGAAGCTGTTGAATTTATTGGCGTAACTGTGATCCTCGTACTGAAGGTCTGTAGTGATGCCCCCATATTTTATTTCTGATGTTTGCCTTCCGAGTTAAGAACGCATCTGTTCATAGCATCTGTTCACAGCATCTGTTCACAGCGGCTGGGTCCAGTGACTTCGCTCAGGAAGATGGTGGGGGTGGTTTAAGGAAAGGGAGCCTGGAGGTGTGGGGGGTGAGGGGTGGGGAGAGGGGAGAAGCTGGCCTGTGGAGGAGGGCAGAGGGCAGGACAGGCCCTGCCTTGGCGCCTCCTCTCTCTGGAGAAGGAGTGGTCACGTGGGTGGTGAGCTCATTAGGCTGGGGACACCAGCTGTGCTATTATTAGGGCTGTTAAAGTCCTCAGCAGATGTTCTGAGGCCGGGTTCCAGCCTTGTTCGCTTCCCACATATGGCCTCATACAGTGTGCATGGGAGAAGAGCCGCGCGGGGACATATAGCTTTTCCGTGAAGCACATCACGCTTTCTTCCCATGAGCGTTTTCCTTTTCTTTCTCTTTGCCAGTTTTCTCTTTCTCTGGCTCTGTTTTCTCTGTGTTTCCTCTCTCTGTGCCTTTCCCCTTCTGTCTCTGTCGCTCTGTCTTTTTCTGTCTTTCTCTCTGCTCTGTCTCTCTTTCCTCTTTCTATTTCTGTGTTCTCCCCCTCTGCCCCCCTCCCTCCCATTCTTCCCTTTTTCCTCCTTCACGGGCCTCTGTATTTACCGTAACCCTGTGTGGACATCCTGGGGCATGAAGAAAGCTTGCCCATTCTGAGTTCACAGTGAACCACGACCTGTTGTAGAAAATAAAAGGAGTGCAGGTAAGTCCGAGGGTGACCACACTCTGGAGATAGTTTTAAATGGCACAGTTGGCTTCTGTGGCTTTAGGGCCCAACAGCCTGATGAGCCAGCGCTGGGGGGCACACGGGTTATTTTTGTTTATCCTCACACGTGGTTTGTGCGTTGTTGGTTTGGCTGACGACCTCTCTTGCCACTGCTTCCTGGATCTCATCGATCAGCTTTTATCAGGGAGCTGTCATGTGGCCCTTCCCTGCCCCTGCATTTTCATAGGAACCCTCGTCTCCACCTACAGCACAAGGTGCAGTCAGTGTCAGATGGACTTCATTGTTCTGGGACTGAATTTCACCGCAAGTATGCTGTGAGGTGGCATGGCCTCAGTGCTAGTTTTCAAAGCTCAGGGTCACGCAAGCTTCATTATAGAAGTTTCCTCCTGTTTATTCCAAAGGGCTGATCTTTTTATATATTTACATTATGTTTGTGGCTGTGATGCCAACATCTCATATTGTTATCCTATATAATAAAAGGCTAATATGCAAATAGACCAAACGGCAGAACGACTGGTCACTATGACATGCACTGACCAGCCAGGGGCAGATGCTCAACATAGGAGCTGCCTCCTGGTGGTCAGTGCGCTCCCACAGGGAGAGCGCCACTAAGCCAGAAGCCTGGCTGATGACTGGCGAGCGCAGTGGTGGTGGCGGGAGCCTCTCCCACCTCCACAGCAGCACTAAGGATGTCCAACTGTTGGCTTTGGACATACCCCAAGGGCTCCTGGACTGCGAGAGGGTGCAGGCGGGACTGAGCGACCTCCCCCGCCCCCGAGTGCACGAATTTCATGCACTGGGCCTCTAGTTAAAATATAATGAAGCAATGCATGTATGCATTAGTGTCATTTCTTACTCCAATAATGGCTACAGCTATCAGAAGTAGTTTTAAGAAAAGCTTCTATAACCTGGGCACTTTTCTTTAAAAGAGAAAAAATTCTCTTTTGGATTTTAAACATGATTGAGTTGTAAAAAAGGATTTTTAAAAAAAGCCCAAAAGCCAAACTTGCATGAGATCAGCCTGAGCAGAGAAATACTGAACTGGGCAACTAAATCTTCACAGCGATGACTCTGCTAATTCAAAGCTTGGGGACGGACAGCAGGAACGGCCTTTCTTCATTTCCCCAATTAACTTAATCTGAGGGAGGGGGTGATGAAGCAGGAAGCCCGTTCTCACAGCCGCAGCCCCCGCCGGTGGGTGCAGGGATCGGAGCTCCAGGCCACACGGGTCAACATGTGTCCGTGCGCATCCCAGTGTGTTTGCCGAGTGGTTTCTGCTTATTCCAGAACGATGGCTGGTTCTGCTTTCGTAGGTTTTCTACAGGTAAGAGGCACCTGTGGCGGGAGGCAGGGCGTTCTTGGCCGAAGGAGGAGCTGGAGATCGATTTAGGACAATTGCTGAGTATGTGTTGAGTTTCTTTTTTGGGCCAGGCATCGAGGCAGGACAGTAAACGGGACCATCCAGGTCTGGGGACAGGAGGACACAAAAGGGTAACAGATGTAGATACGGACGAGGAGAGACAGATGTGGGTAGGGGGGTGGCCGCAAAGGCGTGTGTAGGGAGGCTGTGGCTGAGCAGGCACCTAATAATGGTGGTGCACCTTGGGAAATAGGGAGGCGGAGGCCTCTGCCAGAAGGCCAGTGTGGCTGGAGTGCAGGGAGCCCCTGGAGAAATGGACACAGATGGGGGGTGTCGGGGCAGGCCTGCCTCCCGCTGGCCTGCTGGGCAGTGGTCGGGAGTTGAGGTTTTAATCTGAGTGTGATTGGAAGGAAGGTGCCAGAAGGTTCTGAGCAGGGGAGGGACATGAATTGACTCACCTCCGTCACGGGTCCCCCTGCTGCTGTGCGGAGAGCCAGGGCATGGGAGCCGGAGCAGAAGCTGGGAGAGCCGAGAGGGTCTGGTGTGGGTGCAGGCCCAGCGGAGTGCTGGCAGCCAGTGGAAGGGGGTGCTGTGCGCCGGGTCGCGGCTCAGCACACCTGGCTGTGGTTGAAGAGCCGGGCAAAGAAGAATCTAAATGGTTTCAGGATCTGGGGTTCCCTCTCTCCCTGCAAGGCCATAGCCGGGGAGCAAGTCTGAGGTGCGGAGGGAGTGAGGGGTTCGGCTCCCCCAGCCGCTGGCCAGGAGGGTCGGAGCTTGGAGTGGAGCAGGTTCCCTGGCACAGCTGTGCTGTTGCGGGAGTGAGTCAGCCGCCGAGGTTTCCAGTGAGGAGCCTGGAGGGTGCGTCCCCTCGGAATTCGAAGTGTTTGAGGACAGATCACGCCGTTCCTGGTGGAGCGTGGTCAGAACAATCGACACAAGAGCCGGGCTTATTCTGGGGCTGCAGGAAGTGAGGCGGACGGGGCACGTCGGTGATTCCAGAACGTGCGTTGCTTTCCAGGCAGTGGCCTCGGGCCCGTGTTTCCTGTGCGCAGCCCAGAGGGGCTGCCGTGG